GGATAAATACAAAAAAAAAAATACTCTGTATGAGGGGTGCCTGAGTGGCTCAGTCGGTTAAGTGTCCAACTCTTGATTTCAGCTCAGGTCATGATTTCACGGTTGTGAGATGAAGCCCTGCATCAGGCTCTGTGCTGGGCATGGAGCCCGCCTAAGATTCTCCCTTATTCTCTCTTTCTCCCTCTCTTCTTCCTCACACCCTCTCCCTCTCTAAAAGAAAAATACTCTTGTTTATTACAATGATGAATACATTTGTCCAAAACCACAGAATATAAAACACCAAGAGTGAACCCTAAGGTAAACTATGAACTTTGGGTGATAAGTTCATCATTTGTAATAAATATAGCCTCTGGTGGAACAAGTTGATAATGGAGGAGGCTAAGCATGTTGGGGACAAGGGTTAGAGATTATATGGGAACTCTCTGTACCTTCCTCTCAATTTTGTTGTGAACCCAAAATTACTATAATAGTCTTTCTTAAAAATTAGCAAAATAAACCCACAAAATACTAATGGAGTCATGTAAAACACACACACACACACACACAGAGGATGTAGCATGTAGGAGGTCCACTGTCAAATTTGGGACAACTTGGCCATCAAAAAGAATAATAATAGTAATAGATTGTAACTTCCACTCCCCAAAATATCCATGAGTCCACAGTGATACTGAAAGAAAGAGAAAGAGAGAAAATGGTTCTTTATGAGAGAATGTAAGCTACTAAATACAGATAAAATGATAGAATCATAAAACAATCATTTTTGCAAGGCCAGTGTAGTATTTGGCTCAGGCAAGGATCAGTAATGGGTGCTAAAACTTCTAGGTGAAATGCTATTGGGAATTAGGATATTCACTCAGCCTGGGACTAAGAGACAAAATACATGCCACAACCAAACATAATGTGTGACCCTCAGTTGGATCCTAGGTTGGGAAAAAAGATGCAACTGCGGACAGTTAAAGAAATGTAAATACAGGGGCGCCTGGGTGGCTCAGTCGGTTGGGCCACTGCCTTCGGCTCGGGTCATGATCCTGGAGTCCCGGGATCGAGTCCCGCATCGGGCTCCCTGC